TTACATCTTAAATTAATCTGACCAGTTTCTTATAAATATATAGGCTTGACAAGGAAGAATTAGCAGTACCTTGTATACTGGGCCAAAATACTTCTATTTTGTTTGTAACCTAATTTTTATTTCCTTTCCCACATCTCACATCCTGCATGATGCCTGTGAACCTTGATGTGAATGGCAAGTTTTATATTAGGGCAATATATGTTATTTTTTCTTATTGTGGATAATATCCCAAAGGAAGCTTAAATATAAAATATATGCCACATTTACTGCTGGTGGGAGGCTCAACTCAAATAATTTCTTTGGTATCACAGCTTTGTGTGCCAATAATAGAGATTCTCGAATCTTTACTGACTATTTTTCCTTTATGTAATGTGCAATTGCACAGATTTCTGATTAGTGTCAGGAGTAAAGGCTGCATTAATCCATCTAATGAAAAGAACATTAGAGCATTTTACACTTGACAATTATATGTTTACAAAAGTAAGTCAGATCTGGGGACTTCATCATTAATATCCTTTTCTGCAAGAAAGGCAAATTAAGTAGCATCTTAATTAAATAACAAGAGAGCCAATATATTCAGGGGTACCCATATGGCTCTGAAGAGAGGGTAGGGCCAATTATACTGGTGTTGTACTAGACGGAATAGAATGTAATACAGATGTGAGGGGACTGGCTCTGCAGTGTGACTGTAGGACAAGTAATTGCACTGATTTTGTTAAAGAAATCCTGCAGATATCACGTGGACCCAAATCCTCAAAAAAACTTAAGCATATGTGTAATTTGAGTAAAGTTGCATAATGCTTAAACATTTCTTGGGGAAAGGCCTCGGGAATGCCAAAGGAACATAGGAATTTTTTATTTTAAATTCTTGCAGGATAGGAACTGCGTATTTAGACCTGTGACTTAAGAAAGTGCCATTTTTAAACACGAACATCTTTTTTAACACAACTTAAAATTGCTGTGAGAAGAAGCTGACGTGCTTACCTCTGCCCTTCAGTGTCCAAAGCCTGAACATAAAAATACCGAGCAGGGAGTACAACATCTGCTCTCAGACCAGGTCCCCATATTAAACTGTTCTCCGGGCTCAGCTGGTTTCCTCCACCCGACACAGTGAACACCGGAATTGATCCAAGAGTTAAGTAACAAAGCAGCCAAATGCTAAACATTTACAAGATTTCCACTTCAGGAAAAACACAAACAAGACGACAAGCCGAGCTGCAGGGAAAGGGTAGAAAATGTGCACTCAAGTTAACTTGTGTCTTCAATTACGGCTGCAATTCCATCTCCTCAGTTACACATCTGCCTTGACTCTGCTTTATCTCGTTTGTTTCAAAGAAGTCTCGACTACTTCCCCCTAATCAAACTACAAGGAAGAAGAGGAATTAACTACATTAGTTACCACAAAACAGACTCAGTGAGGAGCTGCTGCCGTGTCCCGTGTCTCTTGTTTCTTTGTCTGTGTATCTCGGTTCCTCTGCCTTAGTCGTGCAGCTGGAACAGCATCTTCGGGTTAACCCTCTCGTCAATCTCAGCCGGGTAGGGGAAAGGAAAGAGGCTTGTTTCATTGGTCCAACAAAACTTCTTCCGAATGAATAATGATATTGTCTCACTTCCCAGGCTGAGCAGTAATGCTGGGAAATGTAGTCTACAACAAGAATGACAGCAGTCTCGTACTTCGCCTCTCACACCCATTACTAGTTTGATTTGGGTGTGGGAGGCAGCCTCAAGCTATTACAATCAAGAGTGCAGACATTTGTGGCTTACTGCAACTTAAAGTTTAAATGGGACACTGCCCACTTAAACTTATGCTTCTGGCTGCAAGTGATGCACCTATTATTAAGGTTACAAGTGAAAGAGTTTTTAAATCTTCTTTTTCAGTTTGTTTACTTTATGTATTTAACAGCAGAACACCTACTGCAGCAATGGGGAACCTTTTGGGGGTCAGGGATTGCTGATCTACAGAAAAAAATCAGTCAGGGGCTGCACACAAGTGAGAAGTAAAAAAAGTTCTCACTGATGTGGCCCCTGACTGAGAAAGAGGGAGACACTCCCCACACACCAGAGCCTGGGGCACCCAAAAGTGGCAGTTAGGTGCCTAAATCACATTGAGGCTCCAGCTTTTAGGTTCTGTGCTGGGCGGCTGAGGGGGGTCAGACAGCAACAGTGTAGAAAATAAATATTTAAAAAATAGTAAAAAAGTGGCTGAAGCCTACATAGTATTTGTAACTATTTTTACCTATAGCTTTCAAGTTGATTGTAATTTAATTATTGCATGCATGTTTTTCCATGAAATTTTAAAGCTGCTTAACTTTTATTGACTTGTCACAATATTATGTTTAATAGTGACTTGGAAGAAACACCGAAGAATCAGCAACTGTGGGTAGTATAATAATAGTAGCCCTAGTTTCAGCATGTTCCTATTCACAATATGCATTGTAACAGATTTGTTTGGTTTAGTTGTTTATTGGTGAAGTGATTCAGATACACAAATACAAACTCAATACACAGATAACAGCTGTAAAAAGAAACAAATTGTACCTACGCCACCTGAAATTATATACACATTAAAACCCTGATACGGATAAAGCTAATAACTAGCCTATCATCCCTATTTTCAGTACCTTACCTTGTAAACCCCAGAGTTCAGAAAGCTAAACAAGGAAATAAATCAGCTCTTGTCAGGCTTTTTTTACATAAATAATTGTGCTCTCGTGCTTTTTGGTATATGTTTTGTTGTACTATTAAGAATTTGTGTTCTGTTTTTTGAAATGATGTTACCTCATATGCACTGGTACAAATTTATGAAAGCGAGGAGAATGTGAGCATCTTTTCACACTTTTCCTTTAAGTTTACATCATAACTGGTCAAATTCAGCTTTATGCATGCATTCAGGCTGACTTCTGTCAGTCTTGAGTGCAAATTACCTTTGATGTGGTTCAAATGAGAGAAAGCCTGCTCACACATGCAGGTGGAGTACATTGAAAGTAAGGCCAAACTGACATTCTGCACGGTGTTGTACGTGGCAGGAAGTTCTTACAAGTTTGCAGAATCAAAACATCATCATGCTCCAATTTCTTCATGTCAGCCCACTTGTGCAGTTTTGCCAATTCTGCACATTGTCGAGCAAGGCATTCTAAATCAGAATTCAGCTTGACGAATTTTTCCACACAGATATCCAACTCCTTGAAATCTCCTATTTCCATTTACAAAATGCTGACTGAGATGCTAGGAATGACTGTCAAATCCAGTTCTTCAATGGACACTTTATGTGGACGAATTATAAAGTTAAACAGAGCACTGTGTTTGGAAAAGTCAACAAAACACGACTTGAATGACATCAGGAGCTCAGAAACAAATCCGGCAAGCTGCTGCAAATCAAGACTGTTATTTGGATTCTCTCCCTGACACGAATCATGAAACGTTCCTAATCTTTCAAAATGTGCCAGTCTGCCCATCTCAAGATCTTTGATGAGGACAGTCAATTTTGACTCAAATCCAAACACTGCCTGCTGCAAAGTCAGGACTGTATTTCATTGCCTTTGTAGTTTAAGGTTCAACTCATTCAGATGGCCAGTAATGTCAATGGGATAGTAAAACTTGAGGAATCAGTCAGTTTGAAAGCTTGGTGTGTTTGACACCCTTCATATCCAAAAATGATTTAACCTCATTAATGCATGCAGCAAAACAAGACAAAACTTTGTCCTGAGATAACCAGTGAACATTGCTGTGCATTAGTAGATTGGCGTATTCAGAATCTACTTCCTTGAACAATGACTGAAATTGCTGTGTTAAAGAGCTCAGTCAGGAATCCAACAGATAATGTGACCAGTCCCATTACATTTCTGAGTTTGTTTCCACAAGATTGCACACAGTGTACCTCCTGATGCACAATGCAATGAAAATTCAAAAGCAGGCAGTTCAGCTGTTCTGACAAGAGTAAGGAATCCCCTGTATTTGCTAGTCATGTTAGCTGCATTGTCCCTATACACAATCACAAGATTATCCTTTGATCTGCCGCGCGCAGGCTGGCAACTGCCAGTTCCTCTCAACCGCTCATCTGAAAGAGAGAAAAAAGAGAAATCCAGAGCGGGGAGGACGGGCGGGTCGTGGAGCACCCACGGGGCACATCTCGAAGAACAATCGTTACTTCACAAGGTGAGTAACTTCTTCTTCTTCTTTGAGTGGCCCCGTGGGTGCTCCACTCTAGGTGACTCCGGAGCAGTACCTAAAAGAGTCCAGAGCGCTCCGAAATTAGGTTTTATGATCACGACTAAGTACTGCTGTAGCCACTGAAGAGTCTGAAGCGAGGTGGTCAATTATAGCATAATGTCTCATAAAAGTGATATTAGAGGACCATGTCGCTGCCCTGCAAATGTCCCGGAACGGGACTCCCTTCAGGAAGGCCGTAGTAGTGGA